GCCCACCCAGTTACATTGTTTATAATAGGGGTGGCCAACTGGTGGCCCTCGAACTGCATGCAGCTCTTTGATTAAAGAAATGCGGATCCTTCTGGTTCTGAGCCACACACCTGGACTGCTCACAGCTGGCTGCTCTGCGCACGCATCCCAGCACCTGGAGGGAGAAGCATGTGGCAGTGGGGGCTCTAGGACCCAGTCATTAGGCTAGGGAAGGAGGGGTTGCCTGGCTCGGGGGGTGAGGAGGGAGATTGGGTTGGGGTAGGAGCAGAGAGGGGCTGGGAGTGCCTGGCTCTGGGGGTGGGGGGAGGCATTGGGGTAGAGCAGGGGTTGCTTGGATCTGGGGGAGGGGAAGGGGATTGGGTTAGAGCGGGGATATGGGGATGCCTGGCTCTGGGGGAGTGGAGGGGAATTGGGTTAAAGTAGAGGGTGCTGAAGCACCTTAAGCTCAAAGTTTTCATGGATGCAAATAATAATTTTACACATCAAATTATTGTATTATGTGCAAACAAGACCTGAAAAAATATTATAAAATATATCTAAAACATAATTATAATAATAAATAATTATGACTTTCTGATAGAAGGACATTTTCTTTGGTGGCTCTGAAAGCTATCAGTTTTTGTTTGTCTAGCCCTTCAGTAGTCTTCGAGTTTGACATGCCTGATCTAGACCATGCTTGGTCCTGCCATGAGTGCAGGGTACTGGGCTTGATGATTTCCCGAGGTCCCTTCTAGTTCTAGTATTCTGTGATTCTATATTTCCCATAAAATGTTAAATTTTAAAAAACAATCATTTCAAATTCAGGTTTTTTATATTTAGCAGCTGCTACTTAATTTGTATAAGGCTTCTGTCTTTGCCAGATGTGACACATTAACTTAACTAATACGAATGATGAGTCTTCATATATACGTGCAAATAAGATTCATTGCTGTTTGTTTAATACATGGGGGAAATTAAAATACTTAACCTAGGAAGAGTTATGGAAGCAGAGAGAGCACAAGATTTTTTGTTAGTCAGCTTTGGGGAAATTCAATATAAGTTCTACATCCATTTATAAATAGACAAATAGGTACTTTAAGCCAGTAAAACCTATAATGCAAAGAAATGATCATAACATAATACACGTCATTTTCTCTCTGTTTTTAAAAGTATTTTTATCAGAGGGAGACACAGATGGAATCTGTGTGTCGCTTTTAAATCGATAGACAATGTTTTCTCCACTGGAGGCCCAATTTCAAGTCTAAATGAGCTCCTCTTATTGTATTTGTCTTTAATGCACTTCCACCGCAGGACTCAGAAGCTTTCAGTGTTCCTTCTCAGGAGAGGCCAAAACCTGAAATTGCAGAGGTGTGTTGCAGACCACCTACATGCTTTGTTTCTAGTACATCTAGCCAGTACTTACATAAATACTAAATTTTGCCTCTGGCAAAACAATTCTTTCTTGACAAAATGAGCTACTATTGAGTCCTTTTAACTCTTATGTGTTTGTACTTGTATGTGCACAGATATATTTTTATGGGTTTTGGTTTAAGGGGATGCAACCTCAGCTTGAAGCATATCACTGGTCCGGAACTAAATACATCAGCTCTTATCTTTGGATCAGGTAAATTTTGAAGCCAAAATGTCACATTTGGAAGGGAAGAAGAAAATCTCTGTTTTTGCTATTGATTTACAAATGGTTAATAATAATAAATGGAGGTTGATGGATTTGCCCTAATGTTTCAAATGTTCCAAATGGCAGCATACATGGGCCAGTGCAAGTTAGCTGGTCAAAATTAGGTAAGTGTTTAGAGGTTTCAGATAATGGCAGTTGATAATGTAGTTGTAAAATTTATCACATGGGTATCACCACCATGTATGTAGGAGTGTGTATGCTAATGGTAAATGAGTAAACAGTCTGCTTTTCATTGTATACGTAAAGAGAGATAAGTCTTTCAATCTGAGTGGGTGTACAAAGCTCTTTAACTCCTTGCTTTGAAAGAAATGAAAATGAACAGGAGTTTGCCTGGGAGATGATAAATTTGCATGATCCATTTAATTTCTGTTCATTTCTTTATATATAGTATTGCAAAGGAACTACAGACAAGTTTCAGTGATTTAGTGACTGCTGAGAAAAAAAGTCTAAGCTTCCTCAGAGAATGAACCTTGTCTGTAGAGAAGGCAGCCTGCTTTGTAACCACAGCAAGCTCCTTTGAAAACTTATTCCAGCTTGATTGAAAATTGCTTCCCCCATTAGAAGGGAGTAGTTTGTTGATTTCTTCATCCCATGCTGGTTATTCTTTAGCTGATCCTAGATGGGGTCTTGCAAAGAGAAGACTTCCAAGGAGGAAATTTCTCTACAGGTTTAACAGCAGGAAATAAGAAGGAGATGCTGTTACAAAAATGACAAAATGGATTTTGCAGATTGCCAGTGGTTCCAATTTTACCTTTGTGGAAAATTACAACTTTTATGATCATTGTAGGATCAGTGCAGAGTTATTAATGGCAATATAGAACAGAAATACTGACTGTTCTTTATCTTATTACCTTTTTATCTCCAAATTCAACATATCTAAATGGTGCCACGAGTTTGTTCTAATCTAGAAAGTTGAGAATTTATATATATATAAAAATATACTGTATTCATATTATATTTTAAAAGTAGAAAACTTATCTCAAATATTACTTATTATGAGCTGATGCAAGGTATGCATTTGAAGCCAAAAATTCACGTACATATTTTAAAATCCATTGAATTTTTATTACAAATTACATACTTGAGCAGCTTCATTCATTCAGTTTAAGCCATTTCAGATGACCTTTCCTTCAGGAGACTGTATCTGAACAGAATATTGTATGGTTGCTAATTGTTTCGGACATGGTGTGTGAAAAATCTTCAAGGAAGTGACTGTTGTTCTGGGATCACAGTACAGTACTGTACATAGATTTTTGTGTGTGTTTATTTCAGGCATGTCAAAGTATATGAAGCAATAAATTTTTCCTACAGATAAACTAATCATGAAAATAATGTTGAGGTGTTTGATTGACATACTGAAGCTGTTAATTTGGAGTGTATCAAGATCAAATGGAAGTTATTGCAATTAGGCAGTGATTGTGTTTTCTTTTCATTTTAAATTTTTAAATGCCACATTTTACATTTTTGCGCATTTTAATGCTGTTGAGTGATGTTCTCGGTGAAATTTTTATGGTTTCTTAAATTGAGGTTTTTAATGTTCAATATGACTTCAATGCAATTTTAATTTCTTATAATTGTTGGCATGTTATTGTTAGCCAGAACATTTTTAATATGATCTCTTTGGTTCTATGCTCTGCAGAACTGTGATGACGAATTAAAGGGGCATTCTCAATGTTACAATTAAATGTTGTTATGGCTTTGCCTGAGGATACCCCAGTATATCTTTCAGGGTGAATTAGGGGGTAACAGTCATCCTACTAGTAAGAAGGTATATGAACCAGATTACACATGTAGAGCCTCCAAGTCACACAAATGAGTCTGTATCATATATCTTCTGAAACAGGAGGCTGTGTTATCAATTATGCACATGATAATATTTCTCCTTTTGTACTGTGGAGTGGTACAGCAAAGACTTTTTTCAGTACGCACCAATCTCCATGTGTAGTGCTTATTGTAATTTCAAGCATCTCTTTTCACTCAGACATGTTTAGAAGAATTTTGCTTGGAAATGCTATTTAGAAGAGAAAACAACCTTGTTGATATATCCCTCCCCAGCTCTATCTACCTCTCTGCCTGCATGACGATGTGAATGATAGATCAGTTCTGGCTTTTTAGGGCCCATGCTTCTCATAGCAGCAGGCATTGAACTCTGCCCTGCAGTAGTTGCTTGGGCTGTCCTCATTTCAGCAGAAGGCAAATTTGGAACCCAGCTACCTGCAACTGAAAGCTAGAAGAAAGCATGGGTGGGTATCACTAAGTAGCTGCCTGTTGCAGATCCAGGGACATTGGCTGGGATAGTAGCTCCTTGGGTGGTTATAAATGGAGCAAGAGGGCATGGGATGTATTCAGAGGAATCAGACCAGAAGGGTAGGAAGTAAGAACAGTGGAGAGGGGCAATGACCAAGGAAAGAAAAAAAAAAAAAACATGTTTGGGCCCAGCCTCAACTGTGCAGTTTTTTTGGCACCTGAGAGCAATCTCAGCACGTTTACTTTTGCTGATCTCAGCTGAACACGGTTCAAGACATCTCTTTTAATATGGTTGAGCATCTCTAGTCTGGTTGGGACCTAACAGGTGCTGAACCACAGAATTTGCCAAACCAATGGAGGTCAATATAGTCTAGCAGCATTACCAAAATTTCCATTGCTTACTGGGCTCTTAGAAGACATTTAGGGATAAGTTAGAGCTAAATAACAGCACAGAATACTGAGCGCCAGGACTGGTGGCTGTAAACAAACCTATGGGACTGTGGGAAACTTCACCACACTCATGATATGTGGACATCTGGCTAACTAAAGTCATGCCAGACTACGGATGTTGCCAGACCAGAGAGTGCCAGACTAGAGAGGTTCAACCTGTACAGCTAATTCCAAATGTAGAGATTGGGGGCAAGTGAGTAATATTTATCTTCCTGCTGTTTGTTCCTACTGTATTTTAAAATACATATATGCTGAAGATGAGTGAATTATTATATAGATTATATGTATTTGCAAGTAAGAAAATATAATAATTTAAATACCTCTAATGCAGTTTACCTGTTTGGCTGATAAAATGGCTTGTGTTAATATTGAAAGTGCTCCATATATCTGGTATTTAAATCTGCTTACAATCATCAATGGGCAAAGCATATGCACACACTCTCCTATCTGGTTCTAGGAATCATCTGAGGTGATACTGGATGTTCTATTAACCTGAATTTTTCCATGGATTTTCAGTGGGATATATTGTGATAATGAAATTAAAGAACATTTCTTTAACATTAACCTGGAAGATAATTGCAAGTAAGAAATATTTTAAAATACTGACATGTTAATCCTTTCCTGATAGAAATCAGAGGAAGAAGATCTTGTTCTTACACCTGATGGCACCAGGGAATTTCTGACATTTGAAGTTCCACTTAATGATTCTGGATCAGCTGGTCTTGGTGTCAGTGTGAAAGGTAACCGGTCAAAAGAAAACCATGCAGATTTGGGAATCTTTGTCAAGTCCATTATTAACGGAGGAGCAGCATCCAAGGTAAGAGAAACTCCATCTGTCTTTGTTTTCCCAGTGTAGGCCACAGATTTCTTTCTGCATTCATTTGAGGTAGCTTCTCTAATTTCTCCCACAAATGTAGCTTTTAGATTGCTTCTCAGATTCACATATTTGTGTGTCTCAAGATTTAAACAACCTTTAAAGGCTTTCTGGAAGGAAGAAAGCAATCACTGGCACATTTCAATTAGTATGCTATTTGGGTAAACAGATTATGATAATGGCTTGAAGTGCAAATGTATAAATGATTGGAACAGACACTTCCTACAATGGCTGCTTAAAAGCTATTATAGCAGTGTTCATTTGGCCATAAACTATTAGGATTAAGAGTTTTTTTTTTAACTAAAGACATAAACTTCCTTTATAACACATTATTTTATGTGACTGACTGCTACCTTTTCTCTTGCCAGGATGGCAGGCTTAGAGTGAATGATCAGCTAATAGCAGTAAATGGAGAATCATTATTAGGCAAAACAAACCAAGATGCTATGGAAACCCTAAGAAGGTCCATGTCTACAGAAGGAAACAAACGAGGAATGATTCAGCTTATTGTAGCTAGACGAATAAGTAAATGCAATGAGGTAAAGAATACTCTTTTATTTAGTGTTTGAAAACTCTTAAATATTTTTAGATACTCTTCTTGATGGAAGATTTGATGCTTTCCTCGAGGCCAGGAGAAAAGTACTGGAGTATTTACGGGAATGTAGTGTAAAATTACTTTAATTTCAGTTTTATACACAATAAACTTAGTACCAGATCAATAAAGCTTATTTCTTTTGAGTACATTATTTCGTTTTGAGCATATTTATCAATAAATAATAGGAAACACTACATGGAAGTGCATTGATTTTGTAATTGCATTACACTAGCAATGTGAGTTTAGGGATTTTTATACTTTTTTTTTCTCAAATGCAATTTATGATTTAGGTTTAATGGTCTTTCTCTTTGCATTCTCAAAACTGGTTTTAATTTTTGAAGCTTTTAGGATGGAGTGATTTTTTTTTTTAGTGCACAATTTGAAGCTGAATAAGGTCTTCCTGCAAGCTTCTATAAAACTTAGAGCAGCATATATTTAAAATTCTCAATCAGAAGACAATTAATATGCCACCTTCTGAGTTCAACATATGCGCAGTCTTTGCAGGGGAAACAAGAATGTTGAATTCAAGACTTAGCTAAGAGCTATAAAGAAAGGTGGAAATCACTTTCAATTTTTTTTAAATTTTTATCAAGCATGTTGGTGTTTTACATTATTAAATGTTCTTCATGGTGCCTGATAGTTTACCTTTGACACTAATTTAATATTGTGTATCAGAATATTATAATATGTATAGGTTCTTTTAGAAATTCTAATTTGGGACATAAAATTTTAAAGACATGTTTGAAGCAATGCTGATTGCACTAAGTGCATTTGGATCTAGTGGCTCCCTAAGTGCATGAACTTAGTGTTATTAACAGTCTTCTTGCCATCGGAAGTATAGGTTATTAGAGTGAAAATCAAAACAAATTCATATTATTTCACATATTTATGGATCCAAATTTTCTCATATCATTAGTGCAGAAGGAATTCTGGTGTTGTGTATTGGTCTATCCTATCTAATCAGAATTGTTGGGAAAGTGGGATTTTTCAGCAAGTCTTCCATTTCTGCCCTCTCTCTCTCTCTCTCTCTCTTTTTGTTTTTGTTTTTGTTTGTTTGTTTTTAATCTGCTTATACATACTAAGAATAAAATGTATTACATTTTGGTATTAGAGGGGCCAGATCTTACAGAAAGGTCTGTACAAAGGAAATCTGCTAATTGTTAATGAAGCTCTGGTCTAAGTGAACATAGTACCAATTCAATTCAGCAGTATTTGTGTACCCACTTACATTAAACTGGGTTTGATTAAGACGAGATTAGGTCTAATTGATATTCATCATGTTTGCTACACAAAAGTCACATGGCAAAATTGAGGCTGCGACTCACCTGCTTCCCACCTGGAAATCCTGTGTTATTACATGAAGCAAATATAATAAAATGTGCTTAAGGGAGTAAGGGTTGTGTCCAGTTGGCTCTCATACACAGTGAAACCTCTGTTATCCAGCGTTCTGTTAACTGGAAAACGTTGTTAACCGGCATTGCCCCCAGCCCACAATACTGTCACATCTTCAGGCGTGCAGGCCTGTCTTGGTTTATCATGATTAGTTTAACAGTTTTTTATTTAGGAAGTACTAATCATCTTTAACTCAAAATAGAAATGTGAGGCCAACTGCCCCACACTACAAAACTACCAGTATTAAAACTTGAGTTTTACTATTATAGTCCATTGGTTTTTTCTAGGTTGATTGGACCCCCAGATAACTGGAATTTTTAGTTAACCGGAACGCCCTAATCCCTGAGCGTGCCGGATAACACAGGTTTTACTGTACCAGTTTTATTGCTTTCTGTGCTCCTTGGTAGGTTAGTGAAATGAACCATGGTGACCTACCTGGCTCAGCGTTGTTGTACAGTTATTGGCACTGCCTGAATCCTTGATAAACTGTATT